CCAACAATTGAACCCCCAACATTTCAAACCCTAAACCCCCAAATTCCATGACATAACACTATATGCTAAAAAATGGAGATTTTGTATTTATATAATCAAAATACCACAAATCTATTTATTAATGCAAGTATTGAAGAAGAACTAGGACCCCTACCTCAAGAATCAAGCAAGGAGCAAAGCTTCAAGAAGAATCCTTTGCCAATCCGAAATCCAATCGATTGAAAAGTGATATCTTCAAGCCTTCTTCACTTCTTAGTGAGAGATCTTGGCCAAAACTTAGAGAAATGGAAGATATTTGGGGTCAAAAACCTAGGGTTTTCCGACCTAGGGTGAGAGGAAGGAGGAAGGAAATGGAAAATGCAAAGAATGATCTAGAAATGTGCCTTTAAACTTGCTGAATTTGCGCAGTCCGCTCGAGCATCGCTTTTCCCGCTCGAGCGTACTTGCTTCCAGCACAGATTTCAAAACTTCAAACTGGTATAACTCTCTCATTTGGACTCCGTTCTAGGTTGTTCTTGTGTCCAAATTGAAACTCCGGAAATAAGATTTCCAATGGTTCTAGCCTCACATCCAAATTCAAAATGTGGAAAAAGAAAAGGGCAAAAGTGTGACGGCTGTTCGTAGAAAAAATTATCAGAATTAAATTCTTGGTTCACTCTTACTTTACCATTATGTTACCACTTCAATCAATACCCCAAAATAAAATAAGGAGGTTCCAAATACACTAATAAAAATGTCAAGGGCAATCTCACTTTCCACGCTCGAGCGTGCACAAACCAACAAAGTCGTCCGCTCGAGCGACCACTCCTACGCTCGAGCGGGAATTCAGAACTCTCAGAATTTCGGATCGTCTGAAAAAATGCTAGGAACCTTTCAAGTCCACTCGAGCGTCAACTCCCCCGCTCGAGTGGCGGGAAAAATCCCGGATCGTTGCAACTTCCAAAGAAAATTCAATACTGACCAACTACAAATAAAATTCACACATTGGCAACATCTAGAGAAAATTCACTTAGTGACAATATCCAGAGAAAATTCACTTAATGACCAACTATAGATAAAATTTACACAATGACAACATCCAGAGAAAATTCACACATTGACCAAATTCAAAGAAAATTCACATTAGCCACAACCAAAGAAAATTCACACAGTGGCCAAAACCAGAGAAAATTCAAAGTGTCAGAGAAAAATCACATTCACTCAATTCCTACATGTATAGAAAATTCACATACTTAGGTAAAATAAGATATATTTACAATTACCTTCATTCCCATCTTTTCCCGTCGCAGCAAGCATAACTCCTTTGTATCGTCCTTTTAAAAATGTTCCATCAAAAAACAGCAATGATCGACAATATTTGAAACCAGCAGTGCATGCATGAAAAGCCACAAACACTCTTTTGAAACGCTTGTTATCGTCAAAATCTAACTTAAATCGACTACCTGGATTGTTTTTCAATGCCTCATCAAAATACCACCCTAATTGATCGAATGACAAACAAGAATCCCCATGTGTACTACATTTTGCTTTTTCAACCCCCAACCAACCACAGTTATAACTGATTGAGACCCCATACTTGTCTTTCATTTCTTTGACAACATCCACTGGACGAGTTAAAGGTTTTGCACTTACCTCTTCAAGTATCAGCCCATAAACTAAGCTGGAAGTCATCCTTGTATATTTACTAGTACGAACCGCCACATCACACGTATGTTCATTGTTCAAAGTTCTTATGTGAAAGAATCCATTTGTTTTTTCAACTGAAGCATGTACACGTCACATACATCCCTTTGATTCCTTATATGCACATTTTGCCGTAACCCTCAACTTGTCATTTTTAACATACGTAAACTAAAAGCGAATCTCAATAGCATACTTGCATAAAACAGTACGGAACTCAACCACACCACCCTCAAACTTTTGTCCAACACTCGTAATAATATTTCGCCAACCAACTGACAATAACACATTTTCTTGGTGAGAACAAAACTTAGAGAGTGAATTCCTTTCAATATCCACTAGCCTATCACATTCACCATGCACAAAATCTACCCAATTTGACCCCATTTCATCATCTTGATCAGAAGTACTATACCTAGTAACTGAAACATCAACTATATCAACACCACGTGCACAAACAACCCTCAACATATTTAGAAAATCAATATCATTTCGAACCATACAATTCGGATGGCCCACAATAGAATATGAAATACACATTGTCTCAGGATTCAAATTCTCCCATGTTTTACACAAAATGCCAACCAATTCCTCAAAATTCAATTCGCATGAAACATTAATGATAATAATATCATTCCTATATTTGCACAACAACACTACACTGTCCATTGAAACTGAAAGAAAAAACAAGAAAAATAATTTGTTCAACATAAAAACACTTCACAAGAACAATATAACAGTCCAGAGAAATTTCTAATAATTATAATTTTCTCTAGATTATAATAACAAGCTTATAATTTTCTTTAGACTCAAATAAAAGTCCAGAGATATTTACAAATTTATATTCACCTTCAAGATAACAAAAACAAAATCACAGAAAAATTAATGAATCCAGAGAGAATCACAGAGAAATTTACTGCTAACCATTAAACACAATCATAGACAAAAATCACACATTAGATCTGTTATAAAATTATAAGCTTCTCTGTGATTTTCACTAAATTACAAGCTTACAAGTTTCTCTGCGTCATTCTGCAATATTACACTCATATCAAAATTCAGAGAAATTTACAAACTCATATACACCTTCAAGATAACAAAAAAATACTGCACTACCCATCTAAACTGAAAGAAAAAACACAAAAAATAACTTTTGCACAGAGAAACAAAAACTTATATTCATTTTCTACAAACTTATAATTTTCTCTGAACTACAAACTGAAAGTGAATAACAAACTTATAATTTTCTCTCAACTACAAATAAAAGTCTAGAAAAATTTAAGAACTTACATTCACTTTCTCAGATTCTATCTGCATTAGAAACTTCTAATAATATGTCCATATGAACTTATAATTTTCTCTGTCATTTTTGTTGGATTATAATAACAAACTTACAATTTTCTCTGGACTATACCAACAAAAGTGCAAAGAATGAAATTTCTCTGGTTTAAACAAATTTCTCTGGTTTGAAAAAATAGAGAACAAAACTTATCATTGATCAGCATGTTGATGAAAAATAGAGCACAAAAAATGAACTTTGATCAGCATGTTGATGAAAAACAGAGCATGAAAAATGAACTCTAAACATCAAAATCAACCACACTATCAACACTCTTTGAAATTGATCAAAAAACAGAGAATGAAAAATTAATTTCAAAAATAAAAATCAACTCTATCAAGCTGGGCTCTGTCTAAAATTGATCAATAACAGCAAATGGAAAATCAACTCCAAAAATCATAAACAATTTCACTGAGCTAGCCTCTCTTTTAAATTGATCAAAACTGAAAATAAAAACCTAATGCAAAAATATACTCGAAAAACTAATATGAAATCGGAATCCTTATATAAAATTCAAAACAAAAATAAAAAATTCATGTGGAATTTCTATCGAAATCATACCTGATTCAACTCTACTGAAAAACCTACGCGATCAACACACTATAACACTTACACGATCGTCGTAATCTCTATCGTCAAGTCCACTGCAACACTTGTGAAATCCCTACGAAATCTCCGACAAAAACTCCGCCGCAAAATCAGTTTCCAAAATCTCCACCATGAAATCAGCAATAGAATATTCAGTTTGCCAAAATCCAAACGATCTTATGTTATAACGAGGATAAATTAGGTATTTTATAACATAATAAAGTTGAGGGACTTTAGCCATCAAAACATATTATTATGTATCTCTCTTCCTATCAAAAGTTGGAGAGAGACCGTAGGCCAATTTTCCCATAATAGAACTCCCACAAGGTTTGTGGGTTAAAAAGACCCTTTCCCTTATATAACATATATAGATAAGAAATAAATAATAAAAAAATTGATAGAATTGTAGTAACTTTAAGATTTTACTAAATTTAAGATCCTAGTATAATTCGAATCGTTTAAAATCATAGCATCGTAAGATCTTATGATTCGAATTGAAATTTTGATAACTATGATGAGAAATACAAGTGGCTCTGGTTCGTGACTTAGGCTGCGTTTGGTATTGTTCTCTAAAATTATTTTATTTAAGATTTGAGAAGAATTTTGAAAAAAGAAAAAAAAATATAACAAAAATTAAGTTTTATTTTTATTTACTTTTTTTCATTAATTTTATTTTGCTCCACAAATCCCCCCTATCCGAACATATCTAGTTTTATCTTGTCAAACAAACTTGGTCTCTAGGGTAGTAGTTGAATCTGAGAATGGTGACATCAACTACCCCACCAAGAAAAAATGAGTACACTAGGGTGTGTCGGGTCGCATTTTTGTTTTCTATCTTTATTTTTGGAAAACACTTTTTGCTCTTTCTCCAAATCAATCAATCGAAATGGACTCTAAAAAATCCCAATTAATTGGAATCAGCACCCTTTGTCCAAGCTACTTCACAATTGAATCAAAACTAGAAGTTACATTCTTACTTTGTTCAGTTTGATAGCTCGCTGACACCACTGCCAAAAAAAAACACAACAACTAATCTAAGCTCTAAAATTAACGAAGGATGTGTTTGGGGCAGTTCTTGAAAATTGATAATCAAACAACAAAAGCTAAAAGCATATCTCTCTTACTTCTCAATAATCATTTTTTTAAACTTATTTAAGATAATTCTGCCTTACAAGTTGCACAAAAAATCTGACACATACTTAAACAAAGAAGTTATAAAGTAGTCCCATAAGATGCACCAAACACAGCCGGAGTGATGGACACGCACAAAATTTACTGCTTATGCACAGCCACATCCATCAAAGAGATACATAAAGTGCAAACATACGGGTTGAGCAAGTTCTGTGAACCATGTTCTAAGCTCTTCATAATTTTACACAACATCAAGATCAGATAATTGAACACACCATCATTTTCATGATTCAAGCCCTGTTTTCAACCAAAATAGGGATTATACAGAAACTAGACTATGCATAGGTAACCCTTAAAATGAAAACAAGCCGCAATGACGCCTTGAGCTCCAACTACAACAACTAGTGACTAATTCCAATAATTTCCTTCCTGCAACTCTCAAAACTTTCCTGTGGTCCAGATCCAGATACCTGTTCTAGATTACAAAAAAAAAGAAGAAAAAAAGTGCATCAAACTGAAACAATCGAACTCCACATTGTACAAGTCAAACCCTCATTGCTAATTGTAAAAATGAAAAATGTGACATTAAATACATGGACAATCAGAACCAGGTTCAATGGTTTCATTTGCAGAAAGGTTCTTGAAGTGTACAGACTTCAGTCACAAATGCCCTTTACTATACATACAGCCTCTAAAGATTCATGGCACTTGATGAATTTCTAAAGCACATCCCTGCATCGAAACAAGATAAAACACAGTTAATTTCAAAACCACTCTCCCTCTCCCCTTCCCAACTAACCAAAACAAAAAGACATGTCTTTTTTGTAAACTCTCGTCTTGTCTAGGTGAATTCATAAATTTGCAAAAGCATTTTGGTCATGTCACATGCATCCGAATTATGTGCCAGGTGCATAACAAGAAATACAGCATTTCATTTACATAACTAAATAAGAAGTTTCTAGTACATATTTAAAACAACGCTGATAACAAATAATCTATAACAGCCAATTATGTCAGGCAATAAGTGGTTAGGGGCTATGTTACATGGACACGGGTAAGGTACATGTGTTGAACGTGGGTGCATATTTAGATTTCGGACCTCCAAACCTCAAATTTAAGGGTACGGGGACTCAACAGAAAAAAGAGTCGTATGTAACATAGGGGAACAAAGCATGCAACATATGGTGTACCACAAAACAGGATTTCATGCGTTTCGAGAAATGACAAAGGGTGCCCTTTTTGTTTTATTTCTATGCAATATTAAAGAAAATCCATTTTGTAAGAGTAGGAAGACATCATGTAATAAACAAAATGAATAATACACCAACAAGAAGAAGAAAATGGGCTAGGAACACACTTAAATTTCAAAATCTCCATAAGATAACGCGATACGGTTCAGTATGATATTTGGGCTTTGAGAATAAATTAGAATTCAGCATATAAAAGTCATTAAACCAAGATGAGATGCTAATGGATTTTCTTAATGATATTTGGGCTTTGGAGATAAATGGGGGTAGGAGAAATGAAAATTTCAAAATCTCCATAAGATAACGCGATACGGTTCAGTATGATATTTGGGCTTTGAGAATAAATTAGAATTCAGCATATAAAAGTCATTAAACCAAGATGAGATGCTAATGGATTTTCTTAATGATATTTGGGCTTTGGAGATAAATGGGGGTAGGAGAAATGAAAATTTCAAAATCTCCATAAGATAACGCGATACGGTTCAGTATGATATTTGGGCTTTGAGAATAAATTAGAATTCAGCATATAAAAGTCATTAAACCAAGATGAGATGCTAATGGATTTTCTTAATGATATTTGGGCTTTGGAGATAAATGGGGGTAGGAGAAATGAAAATTTCAAAATCTCCATAAGATAACGCGATACGGTTCAGTATGATATTTGGGCTTTGAGAATAAATTAGAATTCAGCATATAAAAGTCATTAAACCAAGATGAGATGCTAATGGATTTTCTTAATGATATTTGGGCTTTGGAGATAAATGGGGGTAGGAGAAATGAAAATTTCAAAATCTCCATAAGATAACGCGATACGGTTCAGTATGATATTTGGGCTTTGAGAATAAATTAGAATTCAGCATATAAAAGTCATTAAACCAAGATGAGATGCTAATGGATTTTCTTAATGATATTTGGGCTTTGGAGATAAATGGGGGTAGGAGAAATGAAAATTTCAAAATCTCCATAAGATAACGCGATACGGTTCAGTATGATATTTGGGCTTTGAGAATAAATTAGAATTCAGCATATAAAAGTCATTAAACCAAGATGAGATGCTAATGGATTTTCTTAATGATATTTGGGCTTTGGAGATAAATGGGGGTAGGAGAAATGAAAATTTCAAAATCTCCATAAGATAATTGAGACGGTTCGTTAATGATATTTGGTCATTGGGAATAAATTATCATTCAATAAAATTATGAAATATGCAACCAACACATGTGAATTAACTGGCTAAAGAAACTGTTGAAACTATGAATTCTAAAAATATAAGTATGTCAGTGTATCTCAGTAAAGTGGGAAAAGGTTAAAAGGTAAGAAGTTCAAGAGCTTGCTTTTGAACATAAATGAATTCCAATTTCCGTTTGAAAGAAGCAACAGTCAGAGTCATGGTGCTGCAATGAATAAGCAAGTTATGTGCAAAAAATGTTCAAGACAATAACTAGTTCATAAATATATGACAAATGCAGCTGTACAGAAAAGGTTTAGTACGAGGTTGTACAGAAATATACTCAATGCAATTTGCTGATAGAGCATATCTCTTCTTGGCATCATACACGAGAACCCAAAAGACCTGAAATGTTGACAAGATATGAACAAATATGTTACTTTATATCTATAAAAGCATTAATTTTATAGTCAAATGGAAAACAGATGTTGTAGAAAAGGTAAAAACACTTGGACATTGCTAGAAATTTGCATAGACATTTCAACTATGTATGCCTTGGTTTAATAGTAAACCAGACCCCTTGTAATTTGCTTGTTTACGCTTCTCATCCACTATAATGCTGTCATTTAAGTTCTTCCCATGATGGAACATTATCTAATGTTTAGTAGTTCATGGCACTGACATTGGAGCAAAAATGTGGTTCATACATCTTTCCTCAATTTAATCATAGGATTGAACAAGGAAATAAAGTTGGCAGACAACTTCACTACTTCCTGTGGAGTACATATAAAACTTGGATAGTTTCTGCATTAAACCAGAAATTATTTATTGAAGAAACAATGCCAAAAGAGATGATGTGTTTCAATTACAAGACAATTAAACTATAAGGGCTTAATGTGCTTTTATTAACATAAGCACACATATATCTATGAAAAACCTCAGGAGTTTGTTTGAGCAATATAGCTTGCTAATAACCAATAGAGAAAAGCTATTGACTCCCATATTTATTTCTGCTAGTGAATTAAACAACATGAAAGCAACCCCAACACAATGTGCATACAGTGGTGACTATAGGTTGCCTAATCATTTTTTTAAATATGAAATCAACTGTACAGAACATCCAATCCAACTTAGTGGGGAAAAAAATGAAGATAAACAATGGAATAGAACCAGTTTGCAGGGGAGGATCAGCCAGATTAGGCCCTATATCCCTAGGACTATGATTGGATGACAGGAATCAAAGACAAGGAATGAGTATATCATTGCTAGTAATAAAATTATTGTATCAATGTTATTCAAGAGTTTGGTTTAGTCAGAAATTCTCAATGGAAATATGACAGAATTTTAAATAATGTGGGCCTATATATTTTTTTCATTCTTAAATGGTTCACAATTCCTCCAAAAATGTGAGATTACCATGGGGGAGTGTGGGAATCAGATTCCTACTTAGTTTAGGAAAGTGATTCCAATTTGAGTAGGTAATTAGGAATCACTTCCCCATTCCAATATGTTCTAAACGATGGAATTATGGGAATTCAGAATCACATTCCCATTCTCCTTTTTAATTCCTACCATCCAAATTGAGCCTTGTAGGAATAGGAGAGGTCTTGATTTCTCTCATTATCTTCACGCTCTAGCAAACCAATTTAGGAACTTTAGTTACGAGTTGGTTACTCCCATTCCTTATACTAGGAAACCCAGAGTCAATAGGGTGAACTATAAGTCCAACAGGAAGCCTAGGTACAACAATAGAAATGATCAAAAGAAATCAAAGAAAAATAAGACTACATCTCCCAAGAGTGTCCCTAAACCCCTATATTCTAAAGTTAATAAAGTTTAGGTTAGAAAGAACGCTCATCAAATTGCTCTTTGATTAGTGTAGTTAAAGTGTGTCACTTTAGTGTGCTAGGTTGTTATTTCATTCATCTAACGTTGATATTGCATCACACATTTGCTGTACTAAATGCATTACATTATATGGGGTATTAACTTTAGACTAATAATTGGTTGCAACTGGGAATCAGAGTACACATGTTTACTTTATTGATTTTAACAATGAGGAACATAGGCACAATCTTTATTGATTGTACCTCTGTTCCTCATTGTTAAAATCAATAAAGTAAACATGTGTACTCTGATTCCCAGTTGCAACCAATTATTAGTCTAAAGTTAATACCCCATATAATGTAATGCATTTAGTACAGCAAATGTGTGATGCAATATCAACATTAGATGAATGAAATAACAACCTAGCACACTAAAGTGACACACTTTAACTACACTAATCAAAGAGCAATTTGATGAGCGTTCTTTCTAACCTAAACTTTATTAACTTTAGAATATACGGGTTTAGGGACACTCTTGGGAGATGTAGTCTTATTTTTCTTTGATTTCTTTTGATCATTTCTATTGTTGTACCTAGGCTTCCTGTTGGACTTATAGTTCACCCTATTGACTCTGGGTTTCCTAGTATAAGGAATGGGAGTAACCAACTCGTAACTAAAGTTCCTAAATTGGTTTGCTAGAGCGTGAAGATAATGAGAGAAATCAAGACCTCTCCTATTCCTACAAGGCTCAATTTGGATGGTAGGAATTAAAAAGGAGAATGGGAATGTGATTCTGAATTCCCATAATTCCATCGTTTAGAACATATTGGAATGGGGAAGTGATTCCTAATTACCTACTCAAATTGGAATCACTTTCCTAAACTAAGTAGGAATCTGATTCCCACACTCCCCCATGGTAATCTCACATTTTTGGAGGAATTGTGAACCATTTAAGAATGAAAAAAATATATAGGCCCACATTATTTAAAATTCTGTCATATTTCCATTGAGAATTTCTGACTAAACCAAACTCTTGAATAACATTGATACAATAATTTTATTACTAGCAATGATATACTCATTCCTTGTCTTTGATTCCTGTCATCCAATCATAGTCCTAGGGATATAGGGCCTAATCTGGCTGATCCTCCCCTGCAAACTGGTTCTATTCCATTGTTTATCTTCATTTTTTTCCCCACTAAGTTGGATTGGATGTTCTGTACAGTTGATTTCATATTTAAAAAAATGATTAGGCAACCTATAGTCACCACTGTATGCACATTGTGTTGGGGTTGCTTTCATGTTGTTTAATTCACTAGCAGAAATAAATATGGGAGTCAATAGCTTTTCTCTATTGGTTATTAGCAAGCTATATTGCTCAAACAAACTCCTGAGGTTTTTCATAGATATATGTGTGCTTATGTTAATAAAAGCACATTAAGTCCTTATAGTTTAATTGTCTTGTAATTGAAACACATCATCTCTTTTGGCATTGTTTCTTCAATAAATAATTTCTGGTTTAATGCAGAAACTATCCAAGTTTTATATGTACTCCACAGGAAGTAGTGAAGTTGTCTGCCAACTTTATTTCCTTGTTCAATCCTATGATTAAATTGAGGAAAGATGTATGAACCACATTTTTGCTCCAATGTCAGTGCCATGAACTACTAAACATTAGATAATGTTCCATCATGGGAAGAACTTAAATGACAGCATTATAGTGGATGAGAAGCGTAAACAAGCAAATTACAAGGGGTCTGGTTTACTATTAAACCAAGGCATACATAGTTGAAATGTCTATGCAAATTTCTAGCAATGTCCAAGTGTTTTTACCTTTTCTACAACATCTGTTTTCCATTTGACTATAAAATTAATGCTTTTATAGATATAAAGTAACATATTTGTTCATATCTTGTCAACATTTCAGGTCTTTTGGGTTCTCGTGTATGATGCCAAGAAGAGATATGCTCTATCAGCAAATTGCATTGAGTATATTTCTGTACAACCTCGTACTAAACCTTTTCTGTACAGCTGCATTTGTCATATATTTATGAACTAGTTATTGTCTTGAACATTTTTTGCATATAACTTGCTTATTCATTGCAGCACCATGACTCTGACTGTTGCTTCTTTCAAACGGAAATTGGAATTCATTTATGTTCAAAAGCAAGCTCTTGAACTTCTTACCTTTTAACCTTTTCCCACTTTACTGAGATACACTGACATACTTATATTTTTAGAATTCATAGTTTCAACAGTTTCTTTAGCCAGTTAATTCACATGTGTTGGTTGCATATTTCATAATTTTATTGAATGATAATTTATTCCCAATGACCAAATATCATTAATGAACCGTCTCAATTATCTTACGGAGATTTTGAAATTTTCATTTCTCCTACCCCATTTATCTCCAAAGCCCAAATATCATTAAGAAAATCCATTAGCATCTCATCTTGGTTTAATGACTTTTATATGCTGAATTCTAATTTATTCTCAAAGCCCAAATATCATACTGAACCGTATCGCGTTATCTTATGGAGATTTTGAAATTTAAGTGTGTTCCTAGCCCATTTTCTTCTTCTTGTTGGTGTATTATTCATTTTGTTTATTACATGATGTCTTCCTACTCTTACAAAATGGATTTCCTTTAATATTGCATAGAAATAAAACAAAAAGGGCACCCTTTGTCATTTCTCGAAACGCATGAAATCCTGTTTTGTGGTACACCATATGTTGCATGCTTTGTTCCCCTATGTTACATACGACTCTTTTTTCTGTTGAGTCCCCGTACCCTTAAATTTGAGGTTTGGAGGTCCGAAATCTAAATATGCACCCACGTTCAACACATGTACCTTACCCGTGTCCATGTAACATAGCCCCTAACCACTTATTGCCTGACATAATTGGCTGTTATAGATTATTTGTTATCAGCGTTGTTTTAAATATGTACTAGAAACTTCTTATTTAGTTATGTAAATGAAATGCTGTATTTCTTGTTATGCACCTGGCACATAATTCGGATGCATGTGACATGACCAAAATGCTTTTGCAAATTTATGAATTCACCTAGACAAGACGAGAGTTTACAAAAAAGACATGTCTTTTTGTTTTGGTTAGTTGGGAAGGGGAGAGGGAGAGTGGTTTTGAAATTAACTGTGTTTTATCTTGTTTCGATGCAGGGATGTGCTTTAGAAATTCATCAAGTGCCATGAATCTTTAGAGGCTGTATGTATAGTAAAGGGCATTTGTGACTGAAGTCTGTACACTTCAAGAACCTTTCTGCAAATGAAACCATTGAACCTGGTTCTGATTGTCCATGTATTTAATGTCACATTTTTCATTTTTACAATTAGCAATGAGGGTTTGACTTGTACAATGTGGAGTTCGATTGTTTCAGTTTGATGCACTTTTTTTCTTCTTTTTTTTTGTAATCTAGAACAGGTATCTGGATCTGGACCACAGGAAAGTTTTGAGAGTTGCAGGAAGGAAATTATTGGAATTAGTCACTAGTTGTTGTAGTTGGAGCTCAAGGCGTCATTGCGGCTTGTTTTCATTTTAAGGGTTACCTATGCATAGTCTAGTTTCTGTATAATCCCTATTTTGGTTGAAAACAGGGCTTGAATCATGAAAATGATGGTGTGTTCAATTATCTGATCTTGATGTTGTGTAAAATTATGAAGAGCTTAGAACATGGTTCACAGAACTTGCTCAACCCGTATGTTTGCACTTTATGTATCTCTTTGATGGATGTGGCTGTGCATAAGCAGTAAATTTTGTGCGTGTCCATCACTCCGGCTGTGTTTGGTGCATCTTATGGGACTACTTTATAACTTCTTTGTTTAAGTACGTGTCAGATTTTTTGTGCAACTTGTAAGGCAGAATTATCTTAAATAAGTTTAAAAAAATGATTATTGAGAAGTAAGAGAGATATGCTTTTAGCTTTTGTTGTTTGATTATCAATTTTCAAGAACTGCCCCAAACACATCCTTCGTTATCTTTAGAGCTTAGATTAGTTGTTGTGTTTTTTTTTTGGCAGTGGTGTCAGCGAGCTATCAAACTGAACAAAGTAAGAATGTAACTTCTAGCTTTGATTCAATTGTGAAGTAGCTTGGACAAAGGGT